CCCCAAAACCCCAAAACCCCAAAACCCCTGTGTTAAAATCTAAGATTGCTTTGCTACTAAAAAAATTAAAGATGATGAGCAAAACTTTGACCAGAAATTTAAGGCGCTCCTTTGGAACCAGAATGATGCCCAAACAGACTCAGCTGTTTATTGACGGCAAGTGGGTTAACTCAGCTAATGAAGGCATTTTCGAGACTATCAACCCTTACACTGCAGAATCAATCACTAGTGTCCAAAGAGCATCAGTCGAAGATGTTGATAGGGCTGTAGATGCAGCAAGGAAGGCATTTGATAACGGTCCATGGAGAAGAACGAGTGCTTCTGAGAGAGGAGATCTTTTGTTCAAGTTATCGCATTTGGTTAAGCAGAATTCAGAAGAATTAGAGTATCTAGAAGCTTTGGGCAATGGAAAATCTGTTAATGTTGCTAGTATGGTAGATATACCTCTTACTTGAGAACATATAGATACTATCTAGGATTAGCAAACAAGATCACAGGAGCCACTATCCCAGCTCCAGGAGACTTCCATGCTTACACAAGAAAAGAGCCTGTTGGTGTTGCTGCTCAAATCATTCCTTGGAATGTGCCAATGTTAATGTAAGCATGGAAACTTGCACCTGCTTTAGCAGCTGGATGCACAGTTGTCATGAAGACTGCCGAACAAACTCCTCTCTCAGCTCTCAGAGTCGGAGAACTCATCAAAGAGGCTGGGTTCCCTGATGGTGTTGTCAATATCTTGTCTGGATTTGGAGAAGATGCCGGTGCACATTTAGTCAGACACCCAGGAGTTGATAAAGTTGCTTTTACAGGATCAACTGAGGTTGGCCTTAACATCATGAGAAATAGCTCTATATCAGGCCTCAAAAGAGTCACTCTTGAACTTGGTGGAAAGAGTCCATTTATTATCTGTAAAGATGCCAACATTGAAGAGTCGATCCAGCAAGCTAACTTTGCATTATTCTTCAACTCAGGACAAGTTTGTATTGCTGCTTCAAGACTGTTTGTTCATGAAAAGATTTATGATGAATTCGCTGAAAAGTCTGCGAAGCTTGCTTCTAAAGCTGTGCTTGGTAATGGTCTGGATCCTAACACAACACAAGGCCCACAAATATCCAAAGAACAACAAGATAAAATCTGGGGATACATCCAAAAAGGAAAACAAGAAGGAGCCTCTTGTCTTACCGGTGGTGAAGAGTATGAAGGTAAAGGATTTTTCGTAAAACCAACCGTCTTCGCTGACGTCCAAGATGATATGACCATTGCTAAGGAAGAAATCTTTGGCCAGTTATGCAGATCCTTAAATTCTCTGATTATGACGATGTTATCAAGATAGCTAACAACACTGAATACGGACTTGCTGCTGGTGTAGTGACTCAAGATATCGGAAGAGCTTTTCATATTGTAAATGGACTTAGAGTTGGAATTGTTTTCGTCAATAGTTATCATAGCAATGATATTACATGTCCCTTCGGAGGATTCAAGAACTCTGGTATTGGAAGAGAAAACGGAATCACAGGTTATGATCCTTATCTCGATACTAAGACAGTCATAATGAGTAGACCAGAAGTATCCATTTCTCAGTTAATTTTTGAGATATAAAAAATCAATACACTTTATTTCTTAAGGGGTTTTGGGGTTTTGGGGTTTTGGGGTTTTGGGG